AGCACTTTTTCAGCTTTCTGAAACATTTCAATTGGTATTCCATCAATTCCTGAGGCCTTGTTTTTGGCTGATGTATTCAATGCAAGTTGAACTTCTTTCCTTCAGCACCATTGGTTCTTGCTCATATGCTACCTCCTGAAAAGGCAGAAACATTCTTTATGGCACAGTGACTCTGTGTATTCTTATGTTTTACTTCTGGTGAGGTTCACATGCAAAGATACCATTTATGTTATGGGGTGGGGGACAAGTAATTGGTTTTTGTAAATTTCCACCATCTGATCTCTAGTTGTTTCTATCACCAAGACCATATTTTAAAATTGTTAAATAGCTGATTCTTCTTTGTGTCCAGCTTTCACATTTCAATCATAAGTAATTATCAATGCATCTTGATTGCATGTTTGAGCAATTTCAGATCACAGAAGTTGATCAAAAGTGTTCAGTTTCTTCATCTTTGGCATTAGTTGGTGGTTAGATTTAAGTAATCATCAAAGTGACTCATCTTCATTGGAGGCATATGGATATTTCCTTATCATTGTCAGCACTGTATTTAAGAAAAGATCTTGAAATATTATCTTTAACAATGAATGCAGTGTCATTCATTTTGAATGTGTCATTCCCAGCATCATAGACCTTATGATTATCTGATTCAAAATGGCCAGTGTCTGTCCATTTTAGCTCATTCATTCCTAGGATAGTGATCTTTATGTATCCGGTTTCATTTTTGACAACTTCCAATTTTTTTACATTTATACTCCATATACATCACATTTCAATGATCAATGGATGTTTGCAGCTCTTTATTCTTAGTTTGAGTCCTATCCGGCAGAACATGAAGATCCTGAAAGCTTCAGTCCATCCATACATTAAGATCAACTCCCTCGACTTTGAGGCAGCAGCTCCTCCTCTGTTGCATTTTGAACGCACCCAACCTGAGGGACTCTGATTTTGCAATATATCAGATAATGTTCCACTGCTACTCAGAAGATTTTCAGTGGTCAGTTTTTCAGAAGTGGATTGCCTGGTCCTTATTTCTAGTCTGCCTTACTGTGAAAGCACCTTTGAATCCTGACCACAATAGGTAACCCTGCTAGTGTTTCAAATACTGGCGGCGTAGTTTCCAGTATCACAGCAACATAGAAGCCATCATTGTACAACAAACTGAACAACTTACCTTGTGCTAATAGTGTGCAGTAACTAGTCTCACTCAATATTTACCTATGCACTTTGTGATTCAAGCTAAGGAAGTCAAGTGTGAAACAAACTATAATGAAAACAGTTGGCTGTTCAAAAGAGAGTGGAAAATTAATTATGAATTATTCAAAGTCAATACGAAATTTTGAAACGGAGTATGAAAATCAATTGGCCCATTGTTCAATCTACCCAAAGGCAAAACAAAAAGAAAACATTCATCCAACACTTCCATGTATTTTGTGCTTTCAATTGACTGAGTCAATTAAATTTATAGGTTTTGTAAGTATAAAAATGTGTAGTGTAATGGCTATAAGGCAACCATAAAAATGAATTGTAATTCAATTGTATCCCCTGGTTTCCTAGATAAATTGATTTTCAACCTTATCTGAAGTTAGGGGACAGATATAATCAGAATTCTTCTGAAAACATTCAATACTAAAGTCTTGAAGGAACATTGCAATGTATTGTGAGAAATCTATCACATTTGGGGACTAGAAGAATGAATAGTCAATATTTTCTACCTCGGGTGCAGGAATAAAAAACATCAGTGGTGTTGTACCATCAGTGCTATGAGGGTACAAAAAACAGATGAGCGGACAACACCCTGACTCCCTATGTGGTCCTTGACCATTGCTGAGAAAAGCAAACTTGCTGTGTTAGTCTGGGTGGACTAGAGAAGCAAATCCATGAACACACATATGTGTATAAGAGAGATATTTATATACAAGAACAATTTAACATTGTAAAAACATCCCAGCCCAATCCACATCAAATCCATAGGTCCAATATTAGTCCATATATCTGATACTAATCTATAAGGTCCTCTTCAGTCTCACAAAACACATGCCATGATGCCAAATGTAGAAGATCACAGGCTATTGGGTAGAAAGTCTTTGGATTCAGTGGCACTGGAAACATCTCAGCACTGGCAGGGGTCTCTGCATGGCTTCTCCAGCACCCAGGGCTGCGTCAGGGTGGGTCCATGTGTCTTATCAACTGCTCTGTCTCCCAGGGTGTGAGCAGAGAGTCTCCTACCTCCAAGGAGCAAATACCAGAATTCCCAGAATCCTTAGGTGAAGGTTATGCTCACACAGAAGCCTCATTGGCTATGACCTGATTGACAGGCTAGACTCCATCCCTACATGCTTAATCCTTAAATTGACAATTATATAACTACCACATTTTCCATCACTGGGGTTGAGAGGCAGGTGTGCAGCAGAACAACGTTTTATTTATTTATTTGTTTGTTTTACTACCATAGTGTTAAAAAATATTTTCACCACATTTCTCTCAAACTGTTCATGTGATCACAAATTAACCCTTGATGCATTTGATCTCTCTCATTGCTCATATGTCAATACTGATATATTACCTAAACAATGGAAGCTGAATTATCCAGAAAACCTTATGTGGTGAAGAATTGGTTTGGTGTAATATGCACAAACGATATGGGAAATGCATAGGCTCTGTATTACTATCATTTTCCACATGAAGAAGCTGATCATTTACTGTGCAACTGTCACAGGTCTAAGAACTGTAGATCCATCTATTCAGTTCCCATCCAGTCTTATTGCAGTAAATGGTGAATAAACTGGATTTGGATCCATGGTCTTTCCACACTATCAGATAACAGATGGAAATGATGGAGACAATGAAGAGGTTATCTACAGTATAAAGAATACTTAAGATACCCATGAGAGAATTGGGCTTAAAGTTTTACATTTAGTTTCATATACACACACACACACACACACACACATATATATATATATAATGTAGCTTGACTAACACCTATAGATTTTTCAGACAAACTATAATAAAAATTGTAAGCAGATATGAATCTATGTGGCCATATATATTTATAACATGAAGGCCTGTGTCTTTCCCATGCCACAGTGATAGATCATTCTGTGGTGAAATTGTCACCATGATATCAGGGATATGTACTGAGAACCTCTGAGTTTCAGAAGCTTAAAATCTTTCCTTTTTACAAAGCACACATGTTAATGCACCTTTTTCAGATTTGATTACATGAATGCCTTTTAAATGAAAAGAATCCACCTGAGACTTTCGTGATTCTTACCTTTCTTCAGGACGTTTTAGACAACTGGAAATCCTGGACCATGTGACCAATGCCTTCTCTTCTCTACTGAATGATGTTAACATCCTACAGAACAATGCTGAGCAGAAAAACGAAAGGACGAGTGCGGGGAAAATCTCAGCGAGTCAGGCCAACGAGCATCCAACAAGACTGGGTGGACTTTTAAAAAGAGCTTCAAGACAGAGCACAAGGACGGATTTTAACCCAGAAGCCCTGGAGCCAGGGAAGATGAAGGCTGACATTTTTATCCCATCTATGAAAACAGGGGAATCTGGAACAGAGTTTCTAGGGATAGCAGACAGTCATAACCAAAGCTGTTCCCCTCCTCTGACTGAGCACCAGTCTCTCCAAGCCTGTGGTGACTCACTACCTTCTCGTCCTCCCCAACCTCCTCTTCACAAGCGATGGCGTCTCTCATCAAGGCTGACCCACAACACTCGAGCTTCCAGTGTGTCTGATGAGCGAGTCAAGGATAGACCTCAAAAAGAGAAACTGACACAGACTAACACATTCCGAAACTTGTCTCATCGGGCAGGTGAAGGCCTGGACTCCTTTGAAATGGAAGAGGTAAGCATTGTCTTCTAAGGGACGTGACCCGCACCAAGGTCCCCCTTGCCTTCCACACTTCCTTTCACCAGTCCACCTTTGATCTTCGTCTCATTCTCTCTTCATGTCCTATAACTCCTGTTTTGCCTCAGACATTTAAGGTCATTCTAGCCCCACCAATTGGAAATGGATATGAAAGCAGCCTTTGCTTTTTGCTGCTCACAAACAAATCTACTGTTCATCTTTTTTAAAAAAATAATGTTTGATTGTATTTTTGAGACAGCTTACAGAGCAAATTAGCTTCGCATTTAACAGTTACTACACTAATTATCCATTGACAATTGTTATATTTTTCTTAGACTGTATCAGCTTGTATTACTTCTGGCCATTTCATTCGCATGGTCCGGTTCCCTGACCATCGACTCTTTCACCTTTGCTTCGGAGCACTGGTTGGTCACTCGGTCCTCGCCTAGATTTTTTTTTATTTTTTGGATGTTTCCTTCTTTTTTTCTCACGTTTTTATTGGCATCCAATCCTCATATCATACTCATCAATAGTTCAATTATATCAAGAGAATTGTACAATCATTACCACCTCTTTTTTTTAATTGTTAGGTGCACAGTACTCCTTGGGAAGTCTTTATTTTATAAGCCGATACATAATTTAGCTGAAAGGTGACCTCCGCAGGTAGTTTTACTTTCAAGTTAATGGAGTATCTCACAAGAATAATGTTGGATAATCCTTTCATCTCAGCTGGTCCAGTACATCTGTATCTTGTAAGAACTTGAAGCCTACTCCATGCTTCTCTCCCATCCATTCAGATCCCTGTACTGTGACCCTGATCAGATCCGTGGTTCATAGATAGACCATCCTGTAGTTCAGTTTCTTCTCTGAATCTTGCTTGTCTTATTTTCCTTATTCTCCAGACCAAAATGGACTGTCAGATTTTATATAGCCACTCAAAAACTATTAACCTCCTACATGCTATGCACAAAACTAGGATATACAACACAGATTTATGAACTATATTATGCCAGATGACTGAGTTAGTCTCACTAAACTATGGTCCCAAAAGCCTTCAAACCCTGAAAACAAGTCCTCTGAGGTGTTCTGCTATGTTGAAGATGTATGACACTTGTGCTGTCTAAATGTTTTATTCTGCATATGAATAGCTAGCTATATATAGATATATACATCTATTCATCACTCTCAACTCACTGCCGTGGAGTCAGTGCTGACTTATAGTAATGGCTGTGGATTTCCAAGCCTGTAACTATTTGTAGGAGTGGAAAGACTGGTCTTTCTCCCATGGAGCTGCTGGTGGTTTCAAACTGCTGAACACACAGATCTCAGCCCAAAGCATAACCACCACATCACATATACATACATATACACACACACATAAATATAACCACACATACATTTTTATGGTTGTTGCTGCTGCTGTCCCCTTATATATTTCCTGGCATTTGCCAAAAGGCTTGCGTGTGACCAAATCAACAGTAAAATCATGACCAAGGATTTCAAATCCATGTGTTATTCGTTAGTCAGACTGCTGTATTACCCAGAATTCAAACAAGACATTTGGCCAAGTCCAGCTTGTTTCCAAGACTCACTAGGCTGTTCTCTTCCTTGTTTCTTCAACCTCAACCCAGTCTGAGAGACAGAAGAAAAGTCATCTATCGGCTACCTCATTTTATTGTACTTTGTTGATTGCCCTTCACAGAAATAACATTTTATATCAATTTAAGGGTTGTGGGAACACCGCATCAAGCAAGTCTACCTGTACCATTTGTTACCAGCAAGTGCCCATGACCCTGTGTCACATTTGAGACCTACCACAATAAGCATGCTGTTGCACACGCAGCAGACTACAGTATACAGCAAACATAGCTTTTGTGTGCACAAGGAAGTCAAAAATTGCATGTGGCTCACTTTTTTGAGATTTTCTCTTTATTGCAGTGGTCTGGAACCAAACCTGCCACGTCTCCAAGGTATACCTCCATATGTGAGAGTACTGGGAATAGGGATAAATACCACATTCAACATATTCTTGGCTCATAGTACCTTCAAATAGTATTACAAATGACAGTTACTATATAAAATATGTATTCATGACAATTAGTCATGAGAAAACACATATGTGAAAGGACAAACTCATACATCAAAATGAAAGGAAAAAAACTCACACATCTCCTTGGCACATAGTAAGCGCTCAGTAAATAGTTGTTGTTTGAGTCAATGAACTTTAAGAGGTTTGGGTAATATTAATTTAGGTCAGCAGTGGCTTTCGTGGCTTTGAAAACCAGAATATCCTGTTGGATTTCAGAGTCAACTTTGTGCATGGCATTCCTTTCGTGTTATTGCTTTGTGTGTGTGTCTAAGGGCGGACTGAATCTAAAATGGTGTGAAAGAAACTCACTACTCGGACTTTGCTTTTATAAAAAAGTTTATTTAAAATACTACACCTTCATCACAACCTAGAGAAAAGTATTTGCTTGACTCAGTACCAATGGAGGAGTCGATGGAACTTGGGGTTGATTGTGTTTTAAAAGACGCTAATGCCAGATTTAATATTTATTTTTCAATGGCAAATCTAAAAATCCAATTATAAGAAATGAAAAATATGTGTGAAATTGGCAGATTTTCATGGCATTTAAAACACAAGCCAATGTGCTTAAATATCTAGCTATCAAAATATCAAATATGGTTGGCCAAATTTTGCCTCCAAATCAATCTACAATGCTTTCCCTAAAGTGCTACTAAAGGTGGAATTTGGCAATAGTTGGCTCAGTTTTCAGAATGATGATTCCAACAAAATTGTACATAGATTTTAATGCAAAAATCAATGCATGTTTCTGTTTACTTTTACATTAAATAGAAGTGAGTCTTTTTAAAATCCCCACACATATTGGCTAAATTTAAAATTTATGGAACTTGTGCAACTATAAACTCAATGTAAGAAAATTCTTTATACTCACAGCAAATTTCTTGTTTTAAAAAAATTAATCAATTGACAAGGTTGGCTCAGATGAAACAGCCAAGTTATACACCTGGCTTCCATTTTGATTGTTGGAATTTTGTATTTTCTTTTTCAATCGAGAAATATGTAATTCATCTTCCGCTGAGTGGATTTTTTATTATGGTAGGGTTCACAGAAAAATAATTCTTTATTTTGCTTTAAAATTGTTATTATGCACACTCCAGTGTGTGATAACCAAAGCCAATAAAAAGGGCTTAAATGCATGTTTAATTAATTATAAATATGAAGTAACTTCTTTGAGAAAAGAGAATAAGTATTTCTCTTTCATTGTTGAGGTATATCTTAGTGCCTTCAGTTTATTTCTGAGTTAATGATCATTTTTGGCCATATGTACCAAAGCGTTTAATATTAATGGCTTCTGATTGAGTTCATGATACTCAAATATTCATCTCAAAGAAACAATATGGTATTCAACTTCATATATGTACATATATTCATTTCATTATTAGTTTTACTTGAAAAATTTAAAGAGCATCCCCAAAGTAAAATTATTGGTAAGTAATCTAATATACTTTCAAAATAGGGCCTATTGTCTGTGAAAAAAATTGGCCATAAATGTATCCAGAATAAAAGATTAAACAGAAAGTCTGCCCACAGAAAGCTTAAAATAGTAATAAGAATTATCTTTTCCAATTTCCTATTAATACAAGTTTCTATAGTAAATAGGTATTGTGATTTTTAAATAGATATAAGTCTGTTTTCACAAAAATCTTATGCTCATTAGCAGGGTAATTATTTCCAATAATAATCTAAAAATGAAATTCTATTCTATCAATTTGGAAATTAAATTAGCTTTAGCCAAACCTAAGCCCTATACAGCAACTGACTTATGAATTTTCTGAAGGACTCTCCATAAACATAGCAGGTAGTAACTAAATCCTTCCGAGACATAAAAAGTTTAATGTGTTTCAGAAGACAATTAGGAGACTTTAGAAGAGTAGTATCTCCCAGGAAGGGCCTCTGCTTCGGCCAACTTTGACAAGACAACTCAAAGATGTCACCTGCTTGTAGTAAGGAGGTCAGTTAGCAGCTCCCAGTGAGCACTCGATAGACACGTATTAAATACGTGAAGTAATTCATTGTCGAATGTTTTTCTAATTGAATGCATTTTGGTGCCTCAGGTCCAGAGTTTTGAAGAAGATACAGGGGACTGTCTTGACTTGACTGCCGGAGCCACAGGTAAGGATGAGGTTCGGTACTCTCAATTTCAGTCTTGCGAAAAGAGGAGGAGGCACGGGACTAGTACTAATATTTCTTTCTTTAAAAACTAGTTTTATTGGTATTTACTTCACATACCGCACAATTTAATCATTTAGTTATATTAAGAAATTTGTGCAATCATTATTACAATGAATTTCAGTGCTTTGTCATCTCATACTCACTGTTATCAGCTCCCCATTTCCCCATCCTTCCCTGTGCCTCTAGGTAATTATCAATCCAGTTACTGTCACATAAATCTACCTATCCTGAATTCCGTAGAGAGAAAATCATGCAAAAGACAAACAAGAAGCAACAAATGACAACAGTGACAAGACAAAACATAGAAAACCTCAATTAAAAAGAAAGAAAATGTTACAACTTTAAAATGGGTCAAAAGGAAGATCAAATGATAAGGTTTAACCCAACTACATTTTAACCTAATTACCTGACTTTACAATGTTCTCTCTCTCTCTCTCTCTCTCTCTCTCTGTTAGCATGGCTATTCTCATGCCCATGCCGACTATGGTTAGCAGGGATTCACCAGCTAGCCCATTTATTTCTCTTCCTTTCTTTGCCACTGCATCCCCTTCCCTTCCTGTCAAGTAGCCCCAACCCCTTCCCCACAGTCTCCAAAGTCTTCCATTCAATAGGAAAGTCTGTATCTTGCTTGCTTGGTTTTTTTCCCCTTTACATCAATGGTCTCGTATATTATTTGTTGCTTTATCATGGAGTGATTTCACTCAGCGTATTTTTCATGTTCATCCATTCCAGGAAGTGTTTCAAGATTTTGTCATTGTTTTGTGGAGTTGTGTAGTATTCCAGTGTGCATCTGTACCAGAGTCTCTTAATCCATTCTTCAACTGATAGGCGTTTAACTGGTTTCTATCTTCTTGTAACCATTAACAATGCTTCAATGAACATGGATGTGCATCTGTCTGCTAGTTACATGCCTTTGACTTCTTCAGGGTATATATCCAGCAGAGGGATTGCTGGGCCATGTGGAATTGCTATTGGCAGTTTTTTTGTGGTACCACCATGTCATGATTGTACTCACTTACAGTCCCACCTTCAGGTATGAGCATTCCAATCTCTCTGCAGCCTCTCCAGCATTCGTTGTTTTCGGTTTGTTGTTATTGTTGTTGATATTGCTATTGTTGCTGTTTGACTGGGCTGTCATTGTCAGTGTATAGTGGTACGCTTCATTGTTTCGGTTTGTATGTCCTAGAGGGCTAGTGATTGTGAGCATTTCTTCATATGTTCGTTGTTGAGTTTTGGGTTTATTTGCTTCCTGTTTGTGTTCTCTATGATATTCTGTATATGAAATCCAGGAGAGGTAGATCTATGGAGCCGGTAACTGGATTCTAATTGCCTAGGGGCCCGGCAGGGGAAGATGGGGGAAAACGGGGAGCTAACAACAAGTATGAGAAGAAAATGGTCTGAAATTGGTTGTGGTGATGATTGCACTAATCTTTCTATGACCGAATGGTTAAATAGCATAATATGTGAAGTACATGACAATAAATACGTTTTTTAAATATATGTGCAGAACTTAAAATATTTGCAGGGGATACCATGAATCTATGAATCATCTGGGAAATTAAAAATCTACGAGCACCGTGAAGGTATATGTAAATTTTAAGATATGTACTGCACAAATGCTCAACACCTCTGTAACTAGTTTCAGATGTGGTTTATTTAACACTGACCATGGGATTCGACCAGGATGGTAGAATGCTTTCATATAGAACTAGGGGACTGACTGGGTGAATGCTGCCTCACCCCCACCTCCAACTAGCTGGTGAGGTTACCCGTGCATCATCTCACTTTTCTGCACCTCAGTTTTCTCATCTATGATAAAGAGAGGGCATAGATAATGCTCATACTCATTGCCAACACTTATATTCTAAAATAAATGATTTTATGACCAAGTTGCCTAGGTGAACCTTGAAAATTATCCCTTAGTCTGCCTCTATATCGTCCTAGACAGCAGAGAAGGACTGTCCTCCTTCCTGTGCCCCAAGGGGCCATCATTGTGATTCAGCATTTCCATGAGAATAGAGCTAGAAGTAGACAGGGTTTAGTCAAGCAAAATAGAGCAGATGAGGCTAGTGCCTTTCCTGGAAGGAAATATGCAAATTTTAAATTTAATTTAGTGTGGTGTCAAACACATCTTTTTCATTACAAAGTGTATGCCTGGGCCTCATTTTGCTAAATGCTATTTAGAAATTATGCATTAGTAATTATAGGGTCCTACTGATTACATAAATTGTTATCCTGCTCTTCGAAGTAATTACCACATAACCTGCATTGAGGTCTATAAGACAAAAATAAGCATCTGTTTCCGTCTAATTGAATGCTTCTCAGTGAAGTTGAAGGCTCGCTTGCCAATGGGAATTGCCTTCCTTAACACTCAGTTAAGAGGTCTGCTGGTATCATGTAAGCCACCTCAATAATTCCATGAGCAATTGGAGAAGTTAGGCACAAGTACCAATCTACAGGCAACCACAACTGTGAGAGGAAAGCACAGGAGAAGAAGGTTACCCATTGGAGAAAATCTAAATTATAGGACTGTCCATGCAGTGCATGGGAATTTGTTACTTTCACAGACAGTGTTGATAACCTCAGAAAAAATAGGGCTGGTAAAAAATAATGAAACCAGTTCAATTAATGGAAAACATGAGACGTTATCACTTTGATCTTGTGTGCATGCATGTAACATTTTTTTTGACTGAACTCAAAAGGTAAAGGCACATGTACTGCTTTGATCAGTAAGAGATGGAAGGAGCGAGTCAGTATGAACCACAGGATGAAGTTCTTAAGTTGTTCAAACACTGTCTTGAGGAGCTCACCCAGTCTCTACCTTGTGAGAATTCCAAGTGACATGGGGGACGCCACATGCAGGCCCTCTGGCTCTCGGTGTCAGGTGTCCCTGAGATGGCTCTGGCTCAGAGCAACCTCGCCTTCTTCACAATTGTTCCTCTGTGCGCGCCCATTGTTGCAGCCACTGCCTTAATCTGTCTCCTTCAAGGGTTTTCCTCTTTTTCGGTGCCCTTCTCCTTGACCGAGTCTGATGTCCTACTCCAGAGATGATCTCTCCGAGCACATGGCAAAGGATGTAAGATAAAGTCTCATTGTTGTAGCTTCTTCAAAGACAGATTTATTGGTCCTTTTGGCAGGACATAGTGTTTTAAATATTCTTCTCCAGCACCGTGGTTCAAGCGCATTGGTTTTTTTCTTTGGTATTCTTTACTCAGCGTTCACTCTGGTGCACAGCCCTTCATGAGTATCATTTAAGAAGCTATCTTGGACATTCTAGGTAATCCAGATTTCAGATGACACCTGACACCTCAGGCCTCACATTTCTCCAACCACAGGAAAGGACCAAGTGATAAGCAGTTAGTTGAGTTATCTCACAAAACTTGAGGGCTAATCATAAATTGTTGTTTAAAGACACACACACCCTGAACTCTCAAAAAAAAACAAAACAACTTTTTAAGACTGTGTTTTCTCTACTCCAGCATAGTACTCTGAAAACTAGCAGAAAATATGTATTTCAGCATTTTACTAAACAAGTTTAAGAAAATTGACTTCCTTTAGAGAATGATGATTTGCTACCTTTCCTTCATGCCCTACCAAGGGATTAAAGAGATTGTTTTTAACTAAACTCTATAAAAATGGTAAGGTCATCATTTCCAGAAGAATGTCACTGAACACTTAAATTGGACAGGCTGTACCTTCCTTGTTGCCCCAGAAGATGGTCAAACAAAGTAAAATAATCATAAAAAGATACAGAAGTTCAAAACCAAAGTCTACTCTAAAGAAATGTCCACGAGTAAAAGAGACAATAAAAAAGCAAACCAATCTTTAAAATTATCTCATTTATTCATTAGAGATCATTCTCAATAAATATGGTTTAAAATAATATTATGGATTAAATCATGTCCCACAAAAACATGTGTCAATTTGACAAGGTAGTGATTCTCAGTATAATATAATCTTTCTCCATTTTGTCATCTGATATGATTTTACTATATGTTGTCAGTCCAAACCTCTATGGTGTTAAAGAAGCAGGATTAGTGGCTGTTATTTTCATGAGTCAGGGTATAATTTTCCAGATTAGGTTATATGTTGGGTCAACTTCCTTTGAGATTAAACAAGAAGCAGAGGTCGGAAGTACCTACTACCACCAAGCAAAGAAGATCCAGGAACAAAGCATGTCCTTTGGACCCAGAGCCCCTATGCTGAGTGTCCTGGATTCAGAAGAAGATTAATATCAGGACAGGTAACTATCGCCAATGGTTTCCTGATGCACAAATGCTAAAATGAGACAAGAATCTTACTTACACAGAGCCAACAAAAAAGCCCACAGTCTTCCCTTAGAGATGGCTCCCTGAATTTGAAATCCGGGCCCTTAACTGTACGAGCACACCATTCTGTTTGTTTACATCGCCCACTTCTGGTGTTTCTGTTGCTGCAGCACTAGATAACCTAAAAGATAAAATACGTATGTCTCCTTCTGCTTTCCACGACACCCAAGTGATTCCTAATGGGCCAACCCGCTTATAGATCATAACTGTAAACTCGGCAAAAGACTTAAAAACAATTACCATAAGGCACAGGAGATTGACAGGTAGATGGTGGAACATTTACACATATGGAAGAAAGGAGTACAATGAGGTGACTTTCTGGATTTAAAAATAAATCCTTTAGCCTGAGGTGAGGGACCTGTTGGCACCATTCTAAAACTTCTTTAGAAAGTAGCACTCTTGCAAAATGTAAAAAAGGAAAAGGAGTCTGTGGCAATGATGAAAACTGCAAAGTAAGATATGAGAGAATCAAAAAGAAAGAATACTGTGAAATTCTAGGTATAAAATTTCCCAAATCTCTAACCAATCCGTGATCTAAATGTGCATGTGAAATACTTAAATAAACCTTGAAGAAAGGAATTACTTTTCTCCATTTGGATTTCACAAATTTTC